CTCTTCTTCTTTTTTAGTAATGTTTTTTAAATTTTTATGTTTTATGTATTTATATGTATTTATGGATTTTAATGTTTTGTGTGAGCCCCCAGAGGAGATGGGTGGGGGAGAAATTTAATATCTATCTATCTATCTATCTATCTATCTATCTATCTATCTATCTATCTATCTATCTATCTATCTATCTCTGGGTCTCAGTTTGAGCAAAATATTATGGTTACAGAATCCTTCCTTTTGGTTCTTTCATCCTATGTAACTGAATGATGAGAAATTCAGGACAAACAAAGGGAAGGTACATCTCCATGCAGTTATAAACTTTGGAATACATACTACAAGATGAGGTGATAGTCACCCCCTTAGATGGGCTTCAAAGGAAGCTGAATTGACTATTATGAAAACAGGATGTTCAGTCCAACCCAGGACATTTTGCTTCCTAAAACAAAGGATATCCCCCTAACCCCAAAGGGTACACATTTTTGCCTCTCTGCACCCTTCTGCCATCTGCTCATTACCCCAGCTGGGAGCTGTTTCATCTGCTCAGACATGCTACTTTATAATAGCACCATCATGTATCATGTGAACAGAGTAATACTGAAGCATGCACAACTCCTGATGGATATTATGGCCTGGGAAAGATGCCTTTTCGCCAGATCTCTTAACAACGTGTTTTTCCAATCATTTTGTCAGTTCTTTATAAACTGGTCTGACGCGCCACCCCCCCCCCATTATACATCATATGTTTAGTTTGTTTACAGAGCTACAGTATGTACCTTGCTTACCGTACATTTATCTGCTTTTCTTAACAGACAGCTGTACCCTCCAGCTTACTCAGGCTTCTGTTCTTACTGAGTTCTCCCTTGCCATATAAAGTATTGGTTCCTCCTATTCACTGATCAGGATCACACTTTACAACGGTGACTTCCTGAGATAAGCAGGCAACCTCACCAGCAAAAAGCAAGCCTCTCAGGAGGCTGAGAACTATTAAGAGAACAACACTCTTGTCCTAGCCTCATCATTTGAGGGGAGCATCCCTCTGCTTAAAAGTAGGACCTCCCTTTCCTTTGATCCAGTATGATTATATTTAGATTCTTAATGTTGGAAATACAATTTCATTTGCACTGTCTTTAGCACCTCATAACTTACTGAGCACAAGAGGCAGTGGGGTATAGGCAGAGATGAATTAATTTCGTCTTCCCTCTTTTTTTTATTTGCTCCTTGTGAGATTGTTAATCTCAGTGTGCTTGTTTTAAAATAGGGAGTGGCTGCAATACAATGTTTTTTCTGAATGTGTCACTGTGCCCAGCAAAAAAGACACAGGTACCTGGGGGTGTGGGGTTTCTAGTAAATATCCCAGAGATGCTAAAGAGGGTGGTAGGGAACAACCTCAAAATATTGCTTTCCTATACATTTTTGTTTTGAGAATGGCCATCAACTATGGCACCCATTTTCTCTGAGTGTTTTCATTTGTTGAAATGATAGTGATTACATCTTGTGATGTCACTTGACAGGTTTTGGAGCATGTGGATCTTGAGGAAGTAAAGGGGATACTCTGTGATCTTAATTCTACCATTTGTGGATTGGGCCACTGCCCTGCTTGCTGGTCAAAGAGGCCACAGAAGGTACTAGGAGTTGAATCCTGGTGGAACGTAATGTTTCTTTGAAGAAAGTAGAAGTTCCAACAACTCTGAAAAAGGCACTGGTCCTCCCTCTCCTCAAAAATCCAGCCTTGGATCCAATGGTAATAGAAAACTACCATCATGTGTTCAACCTTCCCTGTTGTTAAGGTTTTTAAGAAAATGGTAGAACTGCAACTACAGAGAGGTCTGGTGGATACAGATTATCTGGACCCATGACCATTATCAGGCCTGGGAATGAGACAGAAATCACACTGGTCATTCTCCTGGGTAACTTGTAGTGGGATTTGGGTGGAAGGAACATGCCTATCTTTGTCCTCTTAGACCTATTAGCAGCCTTTGATACTGTTGACCACAGTATCCTTCTGGACCACCCGTGAGGACTGGAAATTGGAGCCACTGAATTACGGCAGTTCTATACCTACCAGAGGAACAGATCTAATTGATATCCCAAGACTCTGTCCTTTCCCCTATCCTGGTTACCATCCACATGAAATTGCTGACAGAAGTTGTCCATGCTGGTACCATACAGATTCCAGACCGTACCAAGTTTGACTCTTTATGGTTGTGCTCCCCCAAGGACAGCAGGCTTACAATCCAGGGGTCCTCCAGGACTCGCAAGTTGTAATTTCTGGAGGGCCTTCACCCATCTTTGATTGGTTTATCAATTGGAATGTTACTTGAAACAGGATGTATTGGAAAATGTCACTCATGCCCTTGTCATCTATTATCAGGATTACTATAATTCACTGGATATAGGGCTGCCCTTGAAGACCACTCAGAAACTTCAGCTGATGCAAAATACAGCAGCTCACAAGCTTTCTGACTAGTCAGACAACAGCCAAGTTTACACTGCTGCTGTGGGAGCTTCACTGGCTATCACTGTATTTCCAAGCGCAAATCGAAGTGCTGAGAAATTACCTTTAAAGTCATACATAGCTCAGAGCCTGGGTATTTAAGAGACCACATCTCCCAGATAGATTCTGCCTGAGTGACCTGTATCATTCCAGAGTGTCTGCTAAGGGTCCCCACCTATCATGCATCCTCTCCGAGAGCTCCCCTCCTTTAGAACAGCCTGCCTTCTGTGATGAGGATGGCCTCCACGCTCATAGTCTTCTGGAAGATGGGCCTTTCAGAATGCTTTGGGATTGATTGTGAAGTTATTAGTAGCCTGCTAGTTTCTTATTGTTGTTGTTGTTGTTATTGGTAATCTACAATTAAATTTACAGTCAAAGACTGGTGAAAACTTAATAATTCAAGTCCTAACCAAGGACCTAAGAATTATTAAGGTGGCATCTGAGGATATAGGCAGTTCCAAGCAGGGTATTTTTTTGTAAAATTAGGGTGTTCAGGTCCGATAAATTCAAAATTTCCAAATATCAAGGGAGTCCTTTAGGTATTGCTCCAAGGGCTCCAATCACAATTATTATTGTTGTTGTTGTTGGTCACACAGTCAGCCAAATGTTTAGACTGGATTTGGTATTTTTATCCACCTATCAAGTCCTTCCCAAGGACCTGGGATAGGCAGATGTTGTTTGATGGTATTTAAGGTATTGTTGAGGATGTAAGCTGTTCCAAGTAAAGTTGCCTTTTGCAGTT